GCCGCGTCAAAATCAATGATTTGTCTCGGATACATTCCGGGAGTATTTAGCACTGCAACAAAGCGGTATAGAATAAAACAAAAAAGTTCAATGTAATCCATAGAGAATGTATTGCTTGCATGAAGATTTTGTCTGTGCAAATAGGTACAATAAGAAAACATCAGAACCTCCAAAACAATTTCGAAGTTTCCGACAGATATATAATTTTACACCTTCGTTTACGCAGGGAAACCTCATCAGCATCAATGCTGTTCGTCCTGAGGTACCTGCAATCATCATTACCCGAACAACTATCCCTGGGTAGAGATTAGCCTCGACAGGCCCCTGGCCTTTGTTGGTCCCCCAAATGTTTTTTATATCTACATGTATTTAGTTGTTCTTAGATTTTGTTTCTCTTAATATTATTGTTGGTTAATTGTGGTTTTTTTATACGTCTGAACATGTATGTATACTTGTTGTTTTTTATGAACCACATGTGGAAATAAAACTTGAACTTGAACTTGAACTTGAAATATGAATTAATGTCTTACCAGAGGACGTTAGTATCTGGCTGGGATTCGAACCCTTAACCCTAGGATTGAGAGTTAAGTGAATGAACTATACCATGACACCATTGTTACAAAACTAAACATAGCAAATTCTTTTACTACTATGTCACAACCCATCTCTTAAGTAAAATGCCCTTCTCGAATTGAGATATACTAGTTTGATATTGATAACGAAGCAAATATCAGAAACGAGATACGTTAGGTCTGTAACCGAAATGTGTACTTACTACTGAAGCCATGTTAGAAGGTTCGCTGACTCGAATGCTTTGAATCTAGTGAAGTATCGAAGAATGATGAGTGAATGATGAAACAAATCATTTAACCTCCTTTTATAGGATCTAAAAAAATTAAATTTGTGATGAGGGCGGGTCAATTCATGCAAATTCAGACAAAGTTTTTTATGAAAACAATTTACCTTTGGTTAATTAAACTGTAATCTCCTATTTCATTATCAACTAATTTAAACTGTCATTTTGTATTTCATTAGTAAATAGCTAAACTGTCATTTCACAATTCAAACCACCGATTAATCACGAAGCAATGACAGCTGAAGGATATACAAAATAATAACCATATCCAGCTATTGAAATTCATAATGAATAATTAAGGATGTTCTACAAACACAAGAATCCCTTGTCTGGCACGGTCATTGCTTCACCGATTTCGCCAACACTGTTATTATGACAATGTCTGATCAGTTATACGTAATAGCTATCATTGAAGGTGAAATGATATTGAGTACATGTAATTAACTGTTGTACATAGCGACCAACGTTTTTTTAAGGAAAATATATCAACCTAAATGAACATGATATTGATGATACTAATAATTATAATAATAATAATAATCATAATAATAATATTAACAATAATACTAAAAATGAAAAAAATAATAATAATAACAGTTCATAAATGATGATTTTGAGAATTATCATAATGAGCAGCAAAGCCTTGGCGGGGGGGGGGGGGGGCACTCAGTTGTACAATCAAGCAGGGAAATTAACAGTGAATATGTGGTAGTTTAAAGGATAAAAATACATGGTTTATTTAATGATGATATTTGAGAATAAAACTTTAAACTCTTTTTGAAGCATTTATTATGACAAATTATTTATTTTCGGGAGTAAAATAGTAAACATAATGTGCAAACCAGAACATTTTGGGTTTTGGGGTATCATGTGAAACGTGTAAAGCTCTACCCACAGCTGAATCTGATGAAATAAGTGGGATAAAAAAAAAAAAGGAATTACAAATAATTCAAAAAAGAGGAATTAAAGATTCAAGTATGTTAAATTATCTTGTTCATGTTATTCATAAAATAAACTGTAAATGGATTATTATCTTATACTTTAATTCCAGCATCAACGATTCTGGTTTCCATGAGTGCATTTGTTTTGCCAACCAATGATCCCTTTGACAGCTTGGCAGTGTTTTTACTTTACAGGTGTTTATAACATCAATCGTGCCAAAACAAATGACAACTATTCCGTTTGGTGATTTTCCAAGTTTGTTTATTATCAACATCGCCCGCCATATTTCGATTAACTGTCACGTTTTAATAAATTTATTTACGATATTTTGTAACAAATGGTCGCTCAAAGGTTCGTTCAATTAAGCGTAGACGTCATTTTTGGTGGAGACTGTTATTCAAACTATACTTCAGTCATTCAATATAGAGTTTCGAGCATGGGATTTTACCTCTTTTTCCATCCAAATTCATTCTGTCTTGTGCGTGTGCCAATATTCGTTCAAATTCGACGGTAATTGTCGAAAGTTGAACTCGGGCATTCGAGTTCACGAATGGACCGTCAATTGTGTAACATGTTCATTCAAATTAAGATTAAGATGTTGTTTATGTAGGCCCTATCATTTTTCAAATTTCTGAAAATTAAATAACGTAAATTCATTTTGTTTCATTGTCGATATCAGATGCACTTTTGACAAGGCAGGCTTAAGGAAGACTTTAATATGTTATGTTTCCCCGTTTTTCTTCTTTTCTTATACTGTAATAGCTACGTTAGATCAATTGCCTCAAAATTCTCCTTCCCCTAATTAAAATCAAACAAAACTAACCCTTTTTGGGGCAAGAATTGACGTTGTACTCATGGTGGGCGTCATTCGAGAATGGACATTTATCTCGATTTTTTCACGGGGTGCACGGCAAAGTATCAGTCGTGTATACATGTAGCAAATTTTATGAGTTTCTTGTTATCATGTTTAAGCCACTTGATAAAATCTGAGTGTGTTTTTTTGTAATGAATTTATTGAAATAATAATGAAAAAAGACTTTATCCAAGAGAAATAAAGGAATAAATCAATCGATACATAAAAACAGCATAACATTTCCAAGACCAAAATCGTTATTATTACTTTCATGTTTTAATACTCAATTTATTTCAATAATTATCGTTTTGCTTTCCACCCAGGAGTATAAAAATATGACTTTAAATAAAGAAAATTGACTTCAAAATTAGGTTTAACATCAAGTCAAACTTTCTAGAAATGTCCTCTTTTTTTTTTAAAGGATCTTCTAATCATCATCGTTGTGCTTAGTTATGCCTTTACAGGGATGCCAGTTAGAATTGATCAGAAGGCCTGAAAAACATACAATGAGCTATTTTGTACCCCCAACAAAATACTATGGCCTGAAAATAAATCACCAGGGCCTGAATTCAGGCTTATGCCTAAAAACTGCCATCCCTGTCTTCTCTATTCTTTAACTTATAATTAAAATTGATTAATTCCCATGTAAAAAAATTATAATACAAACGTAACATTCGATTTCTGCATACATTGTCACATCCTCAGTTAACATACAACATCTGTATAATATTGTTTTATTATAGCTTGTCTCTCTTCTTAGATATATATTGATCTCTCTCCCCTGTCTCTCTCTCTCTCTCTCTCTATCTCTCTCTCTCTCTCCCACCCACTCTTTCTCTATTTATCTCCCTCTGTATGTTTGTCTTTTCCCACTCTCTGTGTATGTCTGTCTCTCTGGCTCTCTTTGTCCCTCTCTCTCTCTGTATCTGGTTGAAAGACAGACGATCCGCGTAACACTGATCTCATCATAAATGCAACGCTGGACCAACACTACACCTTACCCTAACCTTAACCCTAACCCTAAACCCAATAGCAACCCTAGCCATAAGTTACCCTATCTTTAAAGAAAAAAGGTCACTGCAGTTTTGTTGAACTCATGTTTTTATTGGACGTCAAAAACAGAAACATGCAGCACAAAGATAACAAATAATGATTTACAATTGTCTCCAGAGCGTCGGAGCGCATCCTCATCATTTCTCTCTCTTTCATGATACCACTTCTTCTCTCTCTCTCTCTCTCTCTCTCACACACACATACACACTCTCTCTCTCTCTCTCTCTCTCTCACACTCGCTCCGTCTCTCTTTCTTTCTCTAGCTCTCCCCTCTCTCCTGTTCTCTCTCTTTCTATCTCGCTCTCATCCTCCCCCTCTCTCTGTTGTCCATACCATCTCCCCTTCTCTTCCTACCTGTCTCCTCTTCCTTTTTTTCTTTAACGACCCTCTCCTATCGCTTCGTTGTCTTTTCTCTAGTTTTGTCCCATCTCATTGCATGCTTCAATCCTCTCTTCCAAATCATTCTGCCATATTGGCCTGATCGTAGCACAACTAAAGTCTTGACGATTAAAAAGTATATATTCACGACAATTCTTTCCTTTGGTTAGAATTTTATTTAACAAGAATTAGTATGCCCTCATATTAGTCAGAGACTTTAGTTTACCAGTTTGCTGTTATTAACAAGTTATTAAAATAAAACCAAATCAAGAAAGAACAAAATTAGTATGTTCATCAAAATAAAAAACAATAATATCTGCCATCAACTTATAATACAAATAGTACCTATTCAGAACAGGACACTAGCCTGTATAAAGCATGTTGTAAGTACGCAAATCTAATTTGTATAAAGAACAAACTAAAGTCAACACAGATTGTAAATTAGCCAGAAAAGAATTTGAAATTAACTGTAATAGATTGCGATTAGTATTAAAGTATTAGATCATAAATAGACCCCAGATATATATCAAAGATTGGTGAACCATAGAACGATTAATATCGAAAATCCTAATTTGGGTCTGAGAAAATGAAATGATCCGAAATACTAAATAATCTACACACACAAAAAAAATATTGATGTAAGTAAATTCAAGTTTTAAATACCATCATAGATGCCTATTATAAATGTAAGATAAGGAAGAATAAGTTTATCATTTTAGTTTGCTAGGAGCTGTTTATCACTTTGTTTTATATTACATTAGAATTAAGAATTTAGAATTTTATTGACTCTTTGACCCCCTCTCGGGGTACGGGAGTACAAACAAACATTAAAGTATAAAAAGCAATGCATACAATTCTTATACATTATACATAGAAAATGACACATAGGTACAAACGATAATAGGTATTATAGGGGATGAAAGTACTAACGTGAACAATGTAACCAACTAGTAAATACAATATATACATACAATGTAGATAGTAATAATTGATAATAGAATGTATAAGTATAATGCAGTCTATTTACAAGCTAAAGAGTAAACAAAGAAGGCTATAGCAACACAGGTGTTAATATACCAATCACGGATGATGAAGGCTTAGCTTGAATTAAATTAAAAACACTATTATGAAACTTTAATATCTATTTTGATGAGGGCAGTCCTAAGGGCATTACATTATGTAGGCATCTAATCATCTCAAAATGGCGGAATTAATAGGCCTACATTATTGTTTAATTATAAATACGTAAAATTAAATAAAAATGAATAACAATAAATTAAACTTCGTATAACTACTAGGTGAAGAAGAATGATCTCTAATCTTCTTCAAAGACGATATTTGGCGATGGCTTTCTTAGTCTGTTTCACTAGACTCAACGGATGATTCAGCAGAGGCAGAGACAGAGGAAGAACGCCTAAAACGAGCTGTATGGGGTGATAAAAACACATAAATAATGAGATACTGTAATCTATTTTACGACTCACAACATGTACGATGAATAAAATCAATCCGGCAGATTGTTTGATGAAGTGACATATAAGCAAAAAGTTTTCGACATTTTTTCCCCGCGACAATTATTGCTCCTAGATGAATCGAATTCATAAAGAAAGTATACCACTCCCCCTCCCCAATAAAAATAGTTACTTCAGTGATGTTCCTTACCTGAAGCAGGACACGAGACAACTCGGATGCAAACGCTCTCCAAGATCTCACAAGCATCGGCAAAGTTCGTTTCACCTTCCTCTTCCAAACACACCTGATTATTATCGGCTGACTTCATCAAAGCCTGCTCATCAGCAGTCACTAGCCCGGGAAGTTTTTCTTCACAGTCGTTCATCACTGTTCTGTATCTATCACAGAGGGCTTGAAACTCCGAAGTGCGATCGGTGGTTTGGGCTATAATTAGGAGAAAGTGATGTGAATTTAGCGATCACAATGACACTTCAAGCAAAATAAAATATTGTTTATAACCTGATCTCCAATACTACCTCTTTTGAATTAATTTTTGTTTTAGTTCCATGTACAACGACTGAATATTCGATTGAGATTAAATATACAGTCACAAATTATATGAAATGTTTGCAAATCATCCCTCAATCATGTCAATTCATGGACATGATATTTGAATCGCACTACCCCCCCCCCCCCCCCACAAAAACCATAAATAAATAATTTTAAAAAATCGTTAATCATTAACATGAATAGCAATACCAATTTAATCGTTTGAATTCATATCAAAAGTAACTTGGTGTCACCTTACATATTCACTGTGAGACGGAATATTTGATGAAATATGACTTCTGTCATAACCATGGAAAATTATTGCACTCCATCCTCAAAAAAATATTTGTTTTTGAAATATTGAAATGTATTATTTCCATGTAGAATACATTTCACACTTTCCCATGAATGACGTTTGTACGCGAAGAGGCCTAAGTAGTATTATTTATTTCATCTTCGTTCTAAACTCATAATAAATCATGATAACATTTTAATAATAAGCGTTCCTACCTTTGATTTCCAGTGTAACAAATGCAATGAGGCACAGGCAAAGGGACAGGGTTTTTACCTGGAAATAAAGAAAGAGCCGCGTCAAAATCAATGATTGTTCTCGGATACATTCCGGGAGTATTTATCACTGCAACAAAGCGGTATAGAATTAAACAAAAAAGTTCAATGTAATCCACAGAGAATGTATTGCTTGCATAAAGATTTTTTTTCAAATAGGAAAAAAAGGTAAACATCAGAACCTCCAAAACAATTTCGAAGTTTGCCGACAGATTTTACATATAATTTGCATCTCCGTTTACACAAGGAAACCTCATCAGCATCAATGCTGTTCGTCCTGAGGTGCCTGCAATCATCATTACCCGAACAACTATCCCTGGGTAGAGAGTGGCAAATGTGGATTAATGTCTTACCAGAGGACGTTAGTATCTGGCTGGGATTCGAACCCTTAACCCTAGGATTGAGAGTTAAGTGAATGAACTATACCATGACACCATTGTAACAAAACTAAACGTAACAAATTGTTTTAATACTATGTCACATTCCATCTCTTAAATAAGAATGCCCTTCTCGAATTGAGATATATACTAGTTAGGTGGTCTGTTATCAACAGACCACCTATTGTTTTCGTCAGAATTTTCTTTCTTTATTAGGTGGTCTGTCGTTCGACAGATCACCTATTGTTTTTGTTCAAATTTTCTTTCTTTATTTATTATTATTTATTTTTATTTCTTCCCGTTTTTTGTGGTCCGGATAACTCAAGTTTGGTTTAATTAATTTCATTAAATTTCGGCACAGTTATAGGTCATTGTCATAAGACATGACAGGAACATTTTCAAGGTCATTAGGTTATCGTGACGTCATCCAGGCGCCATTTTGTGAAATCACGTTATCCATCATATCTTCATGATGCATCAGCAAAGGTCATTCATATTTATATCACATATACTTTAGGTCAAGGGTCAACAGGTCATGTCATCAAAGGTCACACAAAGGTCATGACGCGCGCGTACGCGTGCGTCAAAATTTTAAAAAGCTCAAAATCACTAAACTACTAAAGTAGAGTACGAATCAGGTCATTTTAAGCATTTCAAAATTTTCCGTCCGTACGTGTCCCCGCGCGCGTTGTGCGCGCTCACAGCGCGCGGAAAAGGTCAAATTCAAAAATGTTTACATGATTTGGATTCCTCTTAACGTAATTGACAATTTACATTAATTTCTGTCACTCTTCATATTTCATAACGCCGTGAGCGTGCGTCAAAGTTCAAAATCCGCGCGTACTGCTATGGGCAATATAATGCAAATTTGATAAAAAACATGCCATTTTAAAAATCGAAATAGCTCTTCAGATAGTCCGTTGACCCCCAATTTTTATATCATGGTTGGAAAAAGCATGAGTTGGAGATATGATTTCATACCACCCTGACTCGTACAAAGTGAAATAAAGTCATCATATTGGCATCTAAACTCAAAAAAATGTATTTTGTTGATGACGTCATTTTTGTCTTTGTTTAATTGAGATTATCTCACTTATTAGTGATCAATTTTCGCTCAGATTTTGATATGTTATAGCTGAGATAATTCTCTATCAGAAATTTGCTATTTTGTTGTCATTTAGATGACGTCATCATAGTTAAATATTCGATTAAAGGCGACAATGCATAATTTGTGATATTTGCGTGTTATGTCTATGGGAGGTCACTTTTTTCAAAACATGAATCTGCATGACAAGGTGTTTTGACCAGTATCTCGGTTGTTATTCAACAGTTTTCTCCCAAATTTTAGTATGTTGTAGCTGAGACTATTTGCTATCTCAATATTTCCTCATTTTTTTTAATCAGTTGTCAGGATCATGCTAATGCTCATCATCATTAACATTATCGTTTTTATCGTCATATAACATTATCATTATCATCATCATCATCACCTTTACTATCATGATCATCACCATGTTCATCATGATCATCATTGTTTACATGTCTATATAACTTCTCCCATTCTCAAATCTATCATAGGACTTAGACAGACCACCTTATTCGTCTTCGTGACGAATTAAATTCTAGTTAGGTGGTCTGTCGTTTTCGACAGATCACCTATTGTTTTCGTCAGAATTTTCTTTCTTTATTTATTTATTTATTATTATTATTATTTATTTTTATTTCTTCCCGTTTTTTGTTTATCGGTTAACTCAAGATCGGTTGTTTTAATTTCTTTCAATTTTGACACAGTCATAGGTCATTGTCATGAGACGTGACAGGAACATTTTCAAGGTCATCAGGTTATCGTGACGTCATCCAGGCGCCATTTTGTGAAATCACGTTATCCATCATATCTTCGTGATGCATAAGCAAAGGTCATTCATATTCATATCACATATACTTCAGGTCAAGGGTCAACAGGTCATGTCATCAAAGGTCACATAAAGGTCACGACGCGCGCGTACGCGTGCGTCAAAATATTAAAATGCTCAAAATCACTTAACTATCAAAGGAGAGTACGAATCAGGTCATTTTAAGCATTTCAACATTTTCCGTCCGTAAGTGTCCCCGCGCGCGTTGCGCGCGCTCACAACGCGCGGAAAAGGTCAAATTCATTTGTTTTACATGATTTATATTCCTCTTACCGTAAATGACAATTTACATTAATTTCAGTCACTCTTGACCTTTCATAAGGCCGTGAGCGCGCGTCAAAGTTCAAAATCCGCGCGTGCTGCTATGGGCACTATAATGCAAATTTGATCAAAAACATCCCATTTTAAAAATCAAAATAGCTCTTCAGATAGTCAATTGACCCCAACTTTTATATCATGGTTGGAAAAAACATGAGTTGGAGATATGATTTCATGTGTCATTTGACCCTCAATTAACTCATGACGCCATCATAATGGCCTCCGAACTCAAAATTTCAATTTGCATATTATGACGTCAACATATTTTTATAAAATTGATTGTATCTCTGTAAATATTAATTCATTTTCTTTCAAATTTTGATATGTTCTACCTGAGAATATTGTTTACAAATGCAGTCTCCACGATATTTCATTTTGACAAGGGCATCATGGCGTATTTTTTGCGATTAAAGCAGGCATGTCAATTTTTCACATTTTGCGTGTATTCTCTATGAGACATGACTTTTTCTCAAAACTGGATTCTACATTCTCGTCTTTCGCGAGCAATATCTCCATCGTTTTATCTTTGTTTATGCTGAGCTTTGAGTATGATGTAGCTGAGAGAATGAGCTATCACGAGTGTGCCCTTTATTTTTCGATCAGATGCCGGGATCATGCTCATATTTCACTTATAAAGTGGGATTTGTGAATTCTATTTTCCGTTTACGTGTAATCTCTATGGGAAATGTTTTGGCATATCGGTAACGCACTTGACTTCCGACCTCGAGGTCCCTGGTTCGAGTCCGGGAGTCTCCAACAATTTTTTTCTTTTCTTTTTTTTTTTCTTTTTTGACTTTTCAATGATCATAAAATTGAAAACAGACCACCTAATTCGTCCCCATGACGAATTAAATTTCTAGTATTTTAATTGAATTTGTACAAAAACACAATTCAATTAAAATAAATTTGTGACCACTCTTTTGTGTGCACGATTACTCAAAATTGAACCGTCCAATTTCTTTCAAATTTAACACAGTCATAGGTCATCATCTTAAGACGTGACAGGAACATTTCCAAGTTCATCAACATATCGTGACGTCATCCAGGCGCCATTTTGTGAAGTGCTCTGAGAATCAATTCATGATCATATCTTCATAACCGAAAATCTTTTTTCATTCATATTTAACACGATTAAGGACAATATCCGTCCGGTCAACTTAAGGTCAATAAACGCGCGCGTACGCGTCCGTCCGCGCGTCGGTGCGCGCAAAAATAAAAAATGCTCAAAATCACTTTTTGATCAAATTAGAGCACGTTTCAGGCCATTTCAAGCATTTTGAAAATTTTGCGTGCGCACACCTTTCCGCGCGCAAAAATTTGCGCGCGCGTTTTTGTTCGTAATGGTTGAACGCAACCTAGAATCACTATTTTTTGTCTATCATAGTATTGCCCATTTTTTCCCGAACAATTTGATACCATGTTTATCTCTTTATGACCTTTAATAACGAAATGAGCGTCCTTTCAAGGTAAATGTCTGTGCGTGCGAGCTCTTGTAATACATAGCATATATGGTCAAAAACATGCCTATACGAAATACATAGCTCTTTAGGATGCAAGTTGACCCCACAATTTTGTGCGTGTCAAACTCGTGAGAAATAATCGAGCCAGTTGTAAATAACATCGCGCACCAGCTGCTGGTGACAATGACAATGTATATTACGCTTATAACAAAATGCGCACCATGTGCGAACTCTATTGTGACGTCACAATCAGACCCTTGGCACACTGTATGCAGTGTATCGAACATTCGTCAAGCACTGGATGCACAGTGCTTGTTTGACGATGTTTTTGCAACTTCTAATGCTAGGAAATCCTGTGGAGTGTAGGCTACATAATTTATAAGATAGTAATTTATAAGATAGTAAGAGTTTCTTGTTTGCTCTAGAAATGTGATGTGGTTAATATCAGTAATATTTACTGCCTTATTCAGGGCAATAAGACTTGCCATATATCATCCTCACCTTCGGTTCGGGCGATATACGTCGTATTGCCCAGAAGGCAGTCAATATAACTTAATTATGCATCTTCATGATAATTGCTCAATATTTCGTTGATCAGTTCAGCTCATCAGTTTAGTTCAGTTCATCAGTTCATCCGTTTAGCTCATCAATTCAGTTTATTTTACATCAGTTCAATTTATCAGTTCATCAGTTTATCAGTACTTCATTCATCAATTCATATCTTAATACATCATTTTACATTAACATAATTTCATGGGGTAATTGAATTGAAGATGAACATGATCATAAGAATTGAAGACAGACCACCTAATTCGTCCCCATGACGAATTAAATTTCTAGTATTTTAATTGAATTTGTACAAAAACACAATTCAATTAAAATAAATTTGTGACCTCTTTTTTGTGTGCACGATTATTCAAAATTGAACCGTCC